TATGCAATGATGAAGGCGTAATTAAAAGAAGCTCAAGAACAACAAAAGATCAATGTAGATGTCTATCAAAAGGAACAACCACCATTTCAGATAAAGATAAGATATAATTACTTCGTCGTAATATCAAGACCACTCGTCCTTGTGACAAGTTGGACTATCAAAGGCTTAGATTATTTTCTTTTTTTATACAAATTGATCCAATTACATATCGTTTATACCTACTAGAGCCAATGAAAGTCATCCTCTTATAGAAGTGGAAAATAATGAAGAGTTCGAAGTGGAAGAAGTCTTAGATTCAAGGTGACGCCAAAATAAATTAGAATATCTTGTCCAATGGCATAGATATGATATTAGTGAACGCACATGGAAGCCAGTAAAGAATCTTACAAATACAACAAAGGTGGTGGAGGCTTGAATCTGAAAGAAGCGTGTGAATGAATCTAACTTACGATCCTCGAGTTGGATAGCTTTGGAGTTGAAGTTCAATCACAAGTTGTACTTGATTCATAAATCCCCTAAACTTTGATCTGGTGTTGTCAAACTTCTCGAGTAGGAAAATTCTTGGTTCTCTAATATTAGAAGGATGTTCTGCCATAAGAGAAGGGACATGATTTGGTGCAAATATTGAAACAACTCCAATTATTTCTATATCTTCACTTCCTGCCAATCTTATTACTCCTTGTGGTGGTAAATTGAATTGATGCATTGCAAGCATTAATTCCCTCAATTGTTCTTATATTTGTGCCATTGCACTTTTATTTCAGGAAGTTTTGCCATGATAACACTTAGAAAAGAGAAGATGTCTAATATCGCTCAATACAAATAAAAGAGAGGACTTAAGAACAAAGAAAATACTAAGAATAATATGAGTTTACAAGAGGGTATTCTGCAACTTCTAATATGCTTATGTCTTATCAAGAGAAAGGGGTAATCTACTCTTAATCAAGATTAGACAAAGCTTTAATATTATAGGTGCACTCTTGTCAATCTATCAAGGACAAGAACTTGATAAAAACAAATTAACAAGTGAGACTTTTTTCAAAGAAAGATGACAAAATAGAAAGAACTAAATATGTATATTAAAAAAAAACTGGAATGGCTATTACCAAAAGACAAGAAAACTAGAGACCCTTGAAACTAGACTATAAGCAAGAAGGAGTTGACAAGAGTGAAGAGAGCTTCACCCTTATCTCTATATATACTATCTAACTAGAGGCTATGTGGTGATGTTCTATAGGACCTCTAATGTATGTTGACTTTGTAGGATACATGCTTTGACTTACAAGGTAAGTTTTTCTACATGTGGACTATATAATTAGCTTGATCTTCAAGCTAACAACATGTGTGGCACATAGCCAACTTGTTGACCACGTTTCTTATCCAAAAAGTCAATTAAAGATACCTATAAAGTCAAAGCAGTATCTATAAAGCTTCTAGGAAGCTTTCATAGGAGATATTATAGAATTAACTTGCTTTTACCTACTTCTATTTACTTCTATTTATTTATATAAATAATTATTAGCTTATATGCGTATGTCCGTGACACAATGTAGTAAATATCTTTGTCAATATTTTATTTATATTATAGATGGTGACTATTAATTAGTGTTATTTTTATCCTAAATATGATCAAATCTAAGCAAACATAGCATCACCTTACCACAACCATAGTTGTTTGGTTTACCTAATAATTGTTGAAAGATACATGCCTTCTTTCTTCTATACATGCCTATACTCTACAATATTGCTCTCTTTGGTATAAGTAACAACTTTGTCCAAGTAATTGACAAAGATTATGGTACCTTACTTGTTTTTTTTAAAGAAACTAGATGATTGTGTGAATCAAATTGGACTACAAAATGATATGCTAAAGACATGGTAGATTAAATTTATTATAGCATTGGTATAAGTATTTGAGAACAATATTTTTAGGGTCAAATTAATCTAATAGTTCAGATCATAACAAGATTTTGTAGAAGGTTTGAGTCAATAATAGCTTGATTTGCATGCATTTGTCAATAATTGTTTGTACCTTGGCTTGAGTTGCAAAGTCAATGGTTTGTTAAATTGTGGAGTATCTAATAATTTGAATTTTTTATGTTGTTGCTAATACAAGTAGAGATGTTGTTAGAATAGTAAATAAATATTGTTGTACCTTGCATACTTCTTCCAAAAGTTAAAAAATTCTATAAGTTCATTTAGACTAGGAAGTGGTGTACTAAGCATATGTTGGATTGAATAGATTGCAGTATGATGGCAAGTTTATGAAATTAGTTTTTACAAAACTAAATGGCTACTATTTTGAAGTATTCTATTTTGCAATCTTATTTGTTATTAGAAGTGACAAGTGAATAGGCTAATATATTGATTGTGAATTGAAAGTGTGTTGTATTAAAAGAAAATAGACTTAGTTTCAAGTAAATGTTGAATAAGAATCTAATATAACTAGGTTATTTTATCAAATAGAGTTTTTTTTTTTTATTGTAATAGTTCTTTATTTATAATATTTAATACATTCATTATTTTAATCTTACATACTTTTATATATGAAAAAAAATTTATAATTAATTTAATAAGGTCTATAATTTTATATATTAATAAAATATTATGTGATTAATATATTTTATTATTTTTGTGATTAAGTAAAGAATCTTATTAATTTATTAAAAATATATGTAAACTTAGGTTAAAGAATTTTTTGTTACTTATACATTGATGGATTTGGAACATGTCATTGATTCTTCATGTAATTATTTGTTGTATAAATAATTATAATTTTTGACAAAAGGTTATTTTTTTGCTTGATGGTTGAATAATATGGAAGAATAAACATAGATAGAAGTGTAGAAATACTTTTAAATTGGTGTAGAGATTAATATTTATATTATTTATATTATTTATATTTTTATGTATTTTTTTATAATAAATAATAAATTATAAGAGTGTGGTGATGAATTAATATAATAAATACTTTTAGGACTAGGTAAAATAGATAATAATATTTTATTTAGTAAATATAATACATAAATTTGTAGGTTTATTTTAAAATTATAGATTTAAAAGTAAAAATTAAAATTAAATTATTAAGGTTAATTAAATAAGAAAAAAAGTTAGAAATTACAAAAGTGTGATAATAAGTCATTGTAATAACAAGTCATAGTAATTAATAATACTAGATCTATCAAGTATAGATATAATTGTCGAAATAAATAGATATAATACATAAAAATTTTAAGTTAAAATTTGAAACTAATGGAATTAATAGAAATTCAGATATAATTGATATTAATAGAAAAATTAATTAATATTATGATTTTTTTTGTGGAACTAAAATAATATGTAAAAATAATGGTGGTTAATATTTATATTAATTAAAATTTATAAAAAAAACTTTTTTGTGTAGTTGGTTAATATATATAAAAGATATAATTTTGTTAGATTTTTTAAAAATTTGAATTGGTTTTCTTATTCAACCAAAAAATAATGAATGCATTTAAAGAACTTGTTACAAACATACATACTTACTCTAATAATTATCTGTATGATTAGATAAAAGTATGTAAAAGTAGATTAATTTCATAATATCTTCTAGAAAAACTTCCTAAAAGCTTCATAGATGTGGTTTTGATTTTATATGTATTTGTAGTTGATTGATAGGTTAGAAACTTAGTCAACAAGTTAGCCATATGTTACATGTATTGGTAGCTTATGAAACAAGGTAACTATGTGGCATACATATAAAAATCTTGCCTTGTAAGTTAAAACATATATCTTGCAAAGTCAATACATATTGGAGGTCCTATAGAATCTTGCTACATAACTCCTATTTAGATAGTATATATGGACATAAGAGTGAAGACTTTTTCACTCTTGTCAACTTCTTTCTTGTTCTTAGTCTAATTTCAAGAGTCTATACTCTTTTTATCTTTGGCAATAACTATTCTAGTTTAATATTATATCAATTTTGAGAGATTTTCTAGTTTTTTTGAGTGATACAAGAGGGTATTGATCTTTTAGTTCTTTGAAATTTATGTCCTTAATAAAACTTCATTTCATGATATTACAATTTTAATGTAAATGTTTTTTAATATGTTTGTAGCTTGTTAAAAGATATTTTTAATTATGTATCTAAATTTATAAGATGTATTGGTTTAGATAGAAGTTATTTAAAGTTTAGGATTAGTAAGTTCTATATTAAAGTTATAAGTTAAAAATAGATTATTAAAATAGATATAAAAAATTTAAGTATTGGTTTTAAAATTATTTAAGATATATGATTTAGTCTTAGAATTATAGATTTTATATGTAAGGTAGAATACAAAATATTATTACAATAAAAATTGTGTGTTTTTTTTATTTACATCATATATATATATATATATATATATATATATAGTAATTTTTTTTGTATCAATCCAAGTTACATATCTTTGTCAATATAATAACATTCATTATATATTATTAATATATTATAGGTACCAAATAATTATCTTTAAATATAAAATATATATAATATAAATTATATATTTATATATCATAGTAATTACATGCATGATTTATTTTGTCTAAAAATGGTATTATTATATGTATTTTTTAAATTTTAATTATTTCTATAAAGTATATAATAATTATAAAATAGTATGTGCATGTATATATATATATATATATATAGAATAAGACTATTTTTTTATTTGGATGAAATATACTACTTAAGTAAATCAAATATTGTGATTTATTTATTTTTATAATATTTTAATTTCAATTTCATAGGGGATACA